GTTTCACAATTGGCCAATAATAACGTGTTATTCAATTTCATGTGACGACCAATCACGAGAAAGTTATCCTATATCATGCCTATAGACTATTTTTTGTTTTGGTATGCCATGATGGCATGCCCATGCATTGTATATCAATTTTGATATTCCATAATGCCACCAGAAATTATGCATTTTAAATTTGGCCACTCGGAAAGATTTTATTTTAAACAAACATCTATGATCCGTGTTACATCTATTCTGCCAGAATATTCCTGTCAATACGTAGTTAAATATTGTTTATGACAATTGACAAACCTACTAAACTTTGACCAACAAAAAAAAAACGACAAAGACCGTCAGAGCAGTTTGGTTGACTATTATTTTGACAATTTTGACCTTTGTTAGGTCGGTTTAAACTTTTAACTCTTGTAATCTTATATTTCGTTTAAACAAAAATATGACGAACCTTATATATTTCTTTTTTAAATTCAGACTACCAGGATGCAACCTACTCCTGCTTCCACACAGGAAGAAACACTTCCTGATGACAGTCCTCCCAGTTCTCATCCACCCCAGGGTTACTATCTCACAACTCAATTTCCTCCTTTAACTACAAATTCCACTTCTGTTTATCGTTGTCCTACTTTAACTGCCTTTCTTCACCAGTTAAATCTCTCTCAATATCATAATCTGTTTGTTGAAGCTGGAGTTGGCGAAAATGACCTTGAGCAATTTATGGGGTTTGACGAATCTGAACTAAAAGAAGTATTATCAGCAATCTCGATGAAACCTTTCCATTCTGCTGCTTTCAAAAAAGGGATCAGAGGACTTAGACAATCCCTCTCTGCAAATCCGCCTTCATTAATGACAAGTCATTTAACTAACCCGTTCTCAACATCTTTAACATTTTCTTCTCCGGTAACTATTGTTATTATTTTTTGCTAACATTTTATTCTAATTTATCAAAATTGATAAATTGTAATTTTGTCCGGTTTCTCTATATCTGCAAGTTTTTGATAACTAATATTTTGTTTTTCCATTTCAAAGGTCGTGAGATGGTGGTATTCCATCTAATAGTTGGAATGTATAAAATCTATG